CACTGAGCAGAAATGAGTGACCAGTAGAGAGGTTCTCCTCCAAAACTTTGAATGGGACCTTTGATTCCAGATCTTACTGGTCCTCTGTTGTCAGCAAATATCTGTAAACCATATTATTGAAGTGTACTGTTTTCCATCTAGGTCTGGGCTGTCTGGAGAAGAGGTGGCCAGCCAGCCCATGGCATGTGTGCCACAAGTAGCACAGCCAGCAGCTGTGTTTGGGATGTGTCAGATAGGTGGGGCAGGGAGCAGAATGGCACTTGGAGATGGGGTGGGACTTAACTTGTATGCCTGCCAAAAAGGTTGACCATCACTGATCTAGATGAAGATGACAACTTACCATTGCTTTCATTTACTTTGTTAGCCCAAGTGTCAGAGGTCCACATTAGGGGATTTAAAGATTCTAACCTTGCTGATAAACCATGAAAGTGAGAACATAATCACAACCTAATGGAATTTGTATTTATTACAGGGTTTTTTTCTTTTTGTTTTGTTTTTAAAGAAAACTTGGAAATTACACACAAACTATTTTTAAAAAGTTAGGCTGCAAAGTCCAGCACCCAAAAGTAAAGAAATGACTTTTGAAAGCTGCTCCTTTTTTTATATGTACATTATCATAATCTCTTTAATTATATACTCACATATTGTTTCTCAATGTTTTCTTTTTCTCATCATTGCTTGGTGTGGTTCTAATCCTTGTTCAAATCCTGGGTTTAATTGGCTGTTGGGTTTTGCTACATTGCTTATTCCTACAGTATCTGAACACTTCACAAACAGAAATTACTTTTTCACTACACCATTTCACTAGTGAAAGGGGCATTATTGTCCCCATTCTGCAGGTATAGAACTAAGACACAGATTAAGGTAAAAAAAATAGTTGTTTATTTGGGGCATCAGAATTGAGAGACCTATGCCTGAATTTGCACTTCTGAGTATGCACTTCTGCCATTCTGATACTGGGGACCCAGGAAATGACAGAAATGCAATTAATGAAAGTGACTTTAGTAGTATCAGTTTTAGGAACTGTTTGGTGAAGGGAGGGATAGAATCAAATTCTCTAAATAGCACTGAACACCTTTAACTGTGAGCATATTCTTTCTTTTCTGTCAGTCCCCTGCCTCGTTCACTCCAGACCCTCCTCCAACTTCTGCCGCAGGTAAAACAGAATCTGGCAAACAATGGGTATCTTTACGCTGCAACCATGATTCATTCCTAAATTGAGCCCCTCCTGTTCACTGGAAAGATTACAGGTCACATGGAAAAAAATGTATTCATGTAATTATGCACTGTATCATAGTTCATCAGAACAATGGTGCCAAATTAAAGTTGCCCAAGCATTTCATATCTTTTGATTGCTTAATTTGAAACCTTAATAATAATCTTTTAGTATAGTTTTTACAAGTATTATATGACAAAAAAGTTTTTTTTGTGTGTTTTATAGTTTGTGAAATGGAGGTCTTCAGCATATTTCCAGGATTCCTGCTGCTATACTGGCCTATACTCTGATCCTGGTGAGTTTCTCAAGTTAAGAGGGAGGCAGTAAGTGAGTTATAGAAGTTATTGCAGAATCAGTTCTTCAGCAGGGTATTCAAGAGAGTGTACTGTGGGAAATGCCATCTTTTAAGTAAGATGTAAAGCTCATGTCCTCTCCTTGGTAAGCAAAACGTGTCCTTTTTTTCTTTTTTCCAAGAGTTAGGGTGTGAATCCAGGTGCTGTGGCCAAAATTCAGTTAAGATCATTATATTTTACCACTACTGTTTAAGTTGTACATAGCTGTAGTACATACTTAATGCCCTTCCCTAAACTGCTGTGTAATTTTAAACTCCACCATTAAACAGCTTCTGTATTCCACTTTAAATAGCTGCATTTCATTGATGCGTGAAAGGACTTTTCTCTGTCATTTACTTAATCAGGAGAGTTGTTTAATTTTCTAGCTTTTGTACAGCACTTTGATATGCTCAACTGAAAGATGTAATGGAAGTGCAAGACTGTATCATCTTTAATAACAGCTGTGGTTTTATGGATTGTTTTGGTCTTGGATGGTAACAAGTTTTAAACCTGCAAAACTTCTATGTATTTCTGTTACAGAGCATATGTTGTTAGAGCAGAGAATTTATTTGTTTTTATGTAAGAAACAAATTAGCTCAGCTATAACAAAATAGCCTAACTGAAAAAAACTGATTCATAACCATAATGCATATAGAAATAGTGGAACAAATGAGACATGAGAAAAAAATGAAACAGTTGTGAGAGAGAATACTATTAAGACAGGAAAGCAGATTTTCGTGCTGGTAAAGAAAGAAGTGTATGCAGTTTAATGTATATAGATGATCAAGTATATTAATAGGGGTTTTTTTCATCCCAGCCAGTGTGTATGTTTTGCTTCCCCAAATGAGGGTTTGTGCACTTTCAACTAGGATTGTTTACTTAAAGTGGAAGCAGTGATTTTTCACTGTATTGTGTAGTATATCACTGCTTAATAGCAGGAGCTCTGGGCCCAAGGGGTTACAAAGAAGCTAAACCAGTGATGTCATGTTTAGAAGCACCCTTGTCATAACTTTTGTCCTCTTCAAGTGGGATTGACAGTTCTCACATCTCACTAGAAACCTGTTCTCTGGGCCTTTGTCTATATGCATCAACATATGTACAAGTGGAGGAATTCTGTCTTCCAATACTGGGCAGAAAAAGCAGGATTCCCTCTCCCTCCCATTCCCCTTCCAGTTAAACTCTTTCTCCAATTTAAAAAGAAGCATCATATTTTAAGATAACTGTTTAGACTCTGGAGGCCAAACTTATTTGCAACTAATGCAGGCAAGAGATAAAGTCCTTCAGACTAATTTACTCTTGCTTACGGTAGGTAGAGTTTCTGCATCTGCCCTTTGAGTCTCTTGGGCTGGGAGGAGTTTTAATTAAGGAGTTCTGCTGCTGGGAGCCTCTGAAGGATGCAGGAGTAGACTTCATGGCTGTCTTGGCAGTGCACCCTTAGAAGGCACAACATTCATGTTTTGGGCTCTGTTAGCTCTCTGTAGTCTCCATCATCTCTTTTTGTTAGTGAAGTTATGGTTGCTTTGCATTAGATCTAATTTCCCCTCCCTCATTCTTCCCACTGCCTCCCTTTGCACCATCATGAGCTGGTGGTGAGAGACCTCAGGGATCTCTTCTTACTGGAACAGGATAGGCAGTTTCTCACTTGCATATAGAAAAGATAAATGACAAAAGAACAGATGAACTCAGTATGCTTTCTGTTATAGGTGTGATGGACAGGTAACAGAAGATTGTTCCACTTTGCTGTCAGAGAACCAGAATGACCGAGTGCTTCCTGCCTCCTACCAGCAGCCCCAGTGAACACCGCAGGGTAGAGCATAGTGGAGGTCTTGCTCGTACCCCAAGCTCTGAAGAAATCAGCCCAACAAAATTTCCTGGATTGTACCGAACTGGTGAGCCTTCACCACCTCATGACAGCCTCCATGAGCCTCCCGATATAGTGTCTGATGATGAGAAAGAGCATGGCAAGAAAAAAGGAAAATTTAAGAAAAAAGAGAAAAGAAGTGAGTAGACATTTTCTTATACCCGCCATGTGTGCGTTTCTTCTATATTTAAGAGAAACTTCCTGGAAGATGCTACCTAAGTTTTCAGCTCTTTTTTTTAAAATAAAAAAAGCTTTGCGCTTTGCTTTTGTTTTTTAAATGCAAGTGCACTATGTTCCAAATGGCTAATGTAAAGGTTTATCCAAAGTCTAAGTAGGTGCTGAGTCAGTTGTCTGGCATGATGCTCTTTTCATCCCATTATCTCCCCCTGCTGTGAGTGGGGAGTTCCCAAAGTGTAATGCCAAATAAAGGCTCTTTGACATAGTAGCAGCATGCTATCTAAAACAACGTGCTTTGGTTTCAAATATGTTTAATTGAGCAGGAGAGGATCTTTCAAAATTATAGAAACCAATTTGAATCTAAAAGTGGAAACTTTCTTCATGGGCTGAGGACAGTAAACTGAAGAACAGGTACATATATATTTTTTCTTATGGTTACTTAATCTAATCATGTATTTTGACTTAGTAGTATATTCCTACAGTGTCTTATTAAAAATTAGTAATACCCGAAGTGTAAAAGCAGATCTCAAGATCAGAATCTTTTAAAAAGCGACATGTAAAAAATGAAAGAAAGTGGTTCTTTAATTATAAAATCCATTGCTTAGCACAGAATCATTCCCCAGAACTTCAGTTTTCACTTAAATCCTCCCTCCCCCCCAGTTAAAGAAAATCTAACTGCTTCCACAGGTGCTAAGAACTCCAGCTTCAACAGGACTTCTTTGTTGATATAGTTAAACCTTGTGTATACCAATGCATGCTGCATATTGAAAACAGGAAACATGGACACAGATTGAAGCATATTCAGCTTTTATTATACCTATTTCTATTATTTTTATAATATCCTTCTTTACATATATGCCTCATGGTAATCTAGTTTAAAGGAAAGTGGAAAGGACACTGCAGTGACACAGCAGTGTAGCAAAGACAAATCTGATGCTGTGCACATTTGCCCTAATTGTTCTTTTTATAAGATATTACAAACTACTCCATGAAAGATTTAAAGCATTTTTTGTGATTTCAGAGTAGTTTTAAAGGTGTGAGGCAAATTTAGGCAGAACCAACTAAACCTTTGTACCTGAGAGGTAGTTATCCAGCATTCCACATTCTGTTAGTAAGCTGTGTACTGCTCAAAAGCTGTGCATGGTAGGTTGAATTATATGTGATGTTTTAAGTATTTTTAGTTACAACCCAACTGTTATCCCTGTAAAATTACATTTTAAATTATATGACTTTTTGGATTCAAACAGCAAAATGCCTCGGAGCAGGTGTTTTACTTAAGTTTATGCCCAAGGTCTCTTTAAAATGATATAATGCCATGGATTACAATAGCTCCCTTTTCAGCCTTGCTTTACAGTATACTTCGCAAATTTTAATGTTATTTTCAGTCTCTTCCAGCCCTAATTTTTGCTATACCATTTATTGTTTGTATTCAGCTTGCCCCAGTTTCCTGTCTACTCTCTATCCTTATAGCCCCTCAGCCCACATACAAGGCAGTACACAAGCTAGCTTGGTGTCATAAAAACTAAGATTTAAACAAATACAATTTCTAACAGAACAAATGTTTCAAAAAGCTCGGTCTTCCTCCTCTTTCTTGGATAGGAACATTGTGTAACTGTAGCAGATTCAAGTAATGTGTTTAATGCTTGACACTGAATGAAGGAAAGGAAGGGTGCTGTTTTCAGACTTTGTACATAAAATTCAAGATAGAGCAAATGTTTGTTTGGCTTACAATGTCAGTATATTAATGATGGTGTCAGCAGAACCTTTTATGTACAGAAACATTATGCCAACAGTCTTTGCTCGCTAATTAGTCAAATAGTATTACAAACTCTTTTAGAAAAGTTGTGGTAGGTGGAAATGAAGGGGCAGTTATCCTGACTGATTGGACTCAAGAGTAGACTTTTAGATGAAGCAGTTATTTGCAAAATGGTCACTGTTTCTACTGAACTGTTGCTATGTTTTTCTGTACATTAGTCTGGGAGATTTTTATCTCTGTAGTAATCTATTAGGGCTGTGCAAAGCTTCGGTCACTGGTCAACAAGTAGGAGGAGCGGGCCTACTTGCTCTTGTTCCCCTATACCCCAACATCTACAGGTAGACTTCCAGCTCCAGCTCAAAGTATCCAACTTTGGAAATGTACCTGCAATCTGCACTGCTGGCCACAATATAAAAGCATTTCTATTACCATCCTCAATTTAGGTTAGGAAGCAATGAAAGGGTAATTCTGTCCACCTCCTGATACAATCCTTGATTTCTCTGCAAAGTGCCAACAAAGATGGCTATCACAGTGTTTTTTGTGAGGTGGATGCTTGTTTATCTGGAATTGTATTGAAGCCATCAGTGACCAAACAGATGCTATTATTTAACAATATTTGATTTCTATTGATATTGCTAGTCTTGAGGTAGTGCTTTTAGGGAATAGCTCTGTATGCAGCTTTAGGATTTCTGAATTATACGTTTCTTGGTATTCTCTTACCTTGATGTTTATGTCTTAGTGAGGAGATCTAAAATTCTGCTTTTCCACATTCTTTTTCTGATGCATACTGTACCGTAACATTGATCTCTACTTTTCAAAAATCAGTACAGTCCTTTAAAATGAAAAGAAAATGAAGTGGAACACTTCAGTTTCTCGTGCTTCCTACACCCAGCAGACAGCAGTAGCCCAAATGTGAACTTGCACTTTGATGTGCTTTGCATGTTAAATGACATACTATGCCGTGATCTATTTGTAAGCTGGACACCAAAATGCCTGCTAAAAGACAAATCCTTTGCTAATTTTCCAAAGAAGAAAAAATTGGAAAGCTATTTACAGAAGGTAATTACGCATGTATCTCTGTCTCTTCTTGATACTTAAGGGACCTTTGTAAATTGATGGTAGAACCTCTGACGAATGGAAGCTGAATTTATATGTCAGTCGCACAAAAGCTAGTGTGCTCATTTTTCATTCCACCTCTTGCTGCTTGTTTAAAAGAGCCTATGATTTTTAAATGTGTTGATTGGAAGCAAGCAGAATGATCCAAAGAGCTACAATAAGGCTATGGAGCACGTAGATTATTTAAAACGGTTGCATCTATTACCTACTTCAGAGATATATCTGGCCCTTTTAAATTCAACCTTATTCTATTTAAAATAGAGGTGCACTGATAAAGATTTTTTTGTGTCATACAAATGGCAGATTATTAACCAGCCATATCAGCTGATACCGATCCAATAGCTCAGTTTTGGCAGGCTGTCGAGGGCTGCATGGGTAGCCCCACCCCTTGACAGGTGCCCTGCCCCCTGGTCACCATCTTGGGACCAACATCCCAATGTCTTGGGACCAATGTCCCAGGGCCAGCACCAGTGGGGCCCAAAGCGGGGCGCAGGCTGGCAGGGGTCTGTGGAGCTGAGCTGCACCAGCAGGGAGGGGGGAGCTGGCCTGGCTCCATAGAGCCCCTGCTGGCTGGGACCCCGCACTCCTGCCACCCTGCTCTGGGCCCCACCGATGCGGGTCCAGTGCTCCCACTGGCTCCCCACCCACTCAAACCCAGTGACCCCCAGCCCGGCAGTACAGGTGGGCGGCAGCATACAGCCCCGACCCCCCTGCTCGCCAACAGGGAAGAAGCTGGTGCTGAGTATGGGGAAAAGTGGCCCCTCACCTGCTGCGTGGCCGGCACCCACATTGCGAGCACTCATAGCCCACGTAGGGCTGTCCAGAGCAGGCACAGGCAGGCTGCAGGTGGCAGCAGTGTGGGGCACTGGCCATGGGGCAGGCGAGGGGCCACTTTTCCCCACAGTCAGCACCAGCTTGTAACCCAGCGGCAGGGCAGGATGGGCAGCAGCATTGGGAGGGATGGCTACAGGGAATTTTGGGGTGGCTGTAGCCTGCCCTGTAGCCCTGCCCCCCACACCGGGAAGAGGCCAGCTCAGCCCTCAGCCCTCAGCCTGCAGTGGGCAGCCCGCCCTCACCCCACACAGAAATCCAGGGGGCACATGCCTCCTCCAGGCGTGTGCACAGCAGCTGGGAGCTGCCCCCCCGCACACCTTCTGGTTGAGCTGCCCACAGTATCATCCCATGCCCTGCTGCACCCCAGCTGGGCAGCGCCTGCCTGTCCCACTCCCTCACTGTGGGAGCCTCCGTCTCCCCCCACCCACACCCTTTCCCTCCCCCCGCACAGACTTGCCAGCCGGATGCTGCTCTCCAGGCTGCCGGGCTGCATTCCTGGCTGCACACATGTTTTGGCTACACACATGCACATGGCATTTATTGGTGATGTTACTGGCTACATCGGCGACAGAAAGCTGATTACCGATAATATCAATTTTCCTTTTATCAGTGCCAGTCTGATATGGACTGATACATCGGTACATCTCTAATTTTAAAATAAACTAGAATACATTTCTGGTTCTTATAATCTAAATATGGACACAGTGCAAACAATGAAAAGATATTGGAGTCTGCAGACCAACTGAAACAAAAGTTCTAACAGATGGGAAAGGGTCTGTCCATCTCACTAGGTTGTTAACTTGGGTTTATAAAAACTGCTCTGTATGAGCTAGATTCAAGGTAGATAAACAGTGTTTAAACATGGATTTAACTTGAACCAAATCTTTTTTTTAATCTATTAAAGCTTTGGCGATCTTTGGTAAGGCTGCTGCTTACTAAAACATAACAATACTTTAAATAAAAAGAGGGCAAGCATACATGTTCACTGTTGAAATTTTAAAGGAAGTTAAATTACTGAAGTAGTGGAGGTCAGTGGCTAAGCACCTGGCACCACAGTTCAGCAATGTTATAAATAAACCTTTGTCAGCAGCCACTCTGATACAGGAGCAAAGAGTAGTTTGTTCGTTTTTTTACCTTACTTTGTTCATCTACCTCAGTTCAATGGCAAGTTCTTTCAATGCTGAGAAACCAGCTGGGAGTTAAGAAATCAGAAAGAAAGCAGGAAAGCAGTTTTCCGATCTGCGAGTAACAAATCCGAGTTTGAGAGGTGCTTCTATCTACTAGTTTGAAATCTGAATGTAAACAGTAAAGAGAAACAAGCAGTTCAGTTCACTAACTGCAGATGATGCCACTTTGCTTAATAAATCAGGTAGTTTTTTTCTTAGCTTTTCAATGTACGTAAGGTAATTATGCTTGCAACTCAATGACTGTGAATATCATGCAGTAATTTTATTCACTGAAAAACTCGCCAATTCTAAAGGATCAGGTTTTAGATGCTTTAGGAATAAAGGGGGAGAAGGGGAATGGGGAGAGAGGTATTCATACTTTCTGGATCTCTCTCCCACATGAGGGGTGTGTTGTCGGGGAGACCATGGAGGATATGCTGACCAAGTAACTATCGTTTCTTTAGTATATGGCAAAATTCTGTATCTCTACCATACTTTATTTGCTTTACAGTTTGGAGATTTGTATGGTAAAATTACAAAGATCTGCTGTCCATAAAGCAGCATGTGTAAAGTATGCCTTGGGCTTCCCGAGCCTTTAGAGCAGCCCAGCACAGGGAAGGGTACAAAAGAGTTTTAAATTCACAAGAGCTCTTTATGCTTTGAATTCTGTGCTGCACTGACAAAAGCAGCAGCATGGACTTTCACCCCAGCTGTCTTCTCTAAGTAATGTATAAGTTAAATAATAGGCCTGTAAGAAATGAATGCCCTCCTCCTTCATGCAAACAGCAGAGTTCATGGTTAATAGAATAACATGAAGAAAACTGCATGTCCTAGTATCACATGAGAGCTAAAGCTGGTTATCCAGAAGTTGAGGGGAGTTAAGAACTGCAGACCACGTGTAAGGTATTTCCTTTTTTTTTAACATACTTCATATTTACCTTCACTCTCAGGACGGTTTAAGGTGAAAACCTACAATTAATTAGGTAGGAAGGTTCTTTTTAAAACCACCTTTAAAGTTTTACCTGCTCTTGCCTGAAGCGTGGGCAGGGATAGCTGCAAAGGTATAATGTATAGCAACTCACGCACATATTTCACACACAGTACCTGGCATTCTGCAGCTGAAGCACAGTATTATTGCATTGCGACTATAGACTCCCAAGCTCTCGAATAGGCTCTACAAGGCAAACGTACTGCTATGCAAGTATATTTGGAATAACATTATGTCTCTAATGGACAGTAAGTTTTTTCCCTTTGATTATATTGTTGTCTAAGGCTAGAATTTTAATATTTTTTTACATTCATCTTAAGAAGAGTCTTAACATTTTCAAAAAGGGAGTGGGCAATTAAGTGACTCAGCCCTTTGTTAGAGATATAAATATGTAGATTATCTCTCTTAAAAGTGACTCAGACTATTGATTAAAGGAACTATACTATACACTGCCAGAGAATTATTTTATTTTGCATTTCTTAGACTATTAAGTGAGCAAATAACAAACAAGATGGGCATTGTTGTATTAAGTATGTGTTTAAAATATCAAACATTTAAGTATGTGATGTGTTTTTTCATAACTGGATGAGATTATGCAACACTGGATTTAATATTTGTTCTACTTTGTAGAATGTAAAATGGATCTTCTGAAGCATTGTACGGGCAGGCACCATGTCCTGCTTCCTACTGTATTTCCCTGGTTTTCTTCCTCCTAGATCTTGCTTATAAATTAAAATGGCCTGTAACTTTCTCCCCCTTGCTTCTCATCTCTTTTTCCAATAGCGGAAGGCTATGCTGCTTTTCAAGAGGACAGCTCTGGTGATGAAGCTGAAAGTCCTTCTAAACTGAAGCGGTCCAAGGGAATTCATGTCTTCAAGAAGCCCAGCTTTTCCAAAAAGAAGGAAAAGGATTTTAAAATAAAAGAGAAACCCAAAGATGAAAAACATAAAGATGACAAACACAAGGAAGAAAAACATAAAGAGAAGAAGTCAAAAGACTTAACAGCAGCAGATGTTGTAAAACAGTGGAAGGAAAAGAAAAAAAAGAAAAAGCCAACTCAGGAGGCAGAGATACCTCAGCAAGATGTTCCAAGTCATAGACCTGTGTTTGGGATTCCTTTGGCTGACGCAGTAGACAGGACCATGATGTATGATGGCATCCGCCTGCCAGCAGTTTTCCGTGAATGTATAGATTATGTAGAGAAGTATGGAATGAAATGTGAAGGCATCTACAGAGTTTCAGGTATACTGGGCACACCAAGTATATGGCATACCCAGGCTATTGTTCCCTTTGTCTAACTTTGTCTATGTCAGAAATACAGTTGCTGTGGTGGTTGAGTTGAAAAACGTTCTAGGATCCTCACCAGTGTATCTGGAGATGGATAAACCCAGCCTTGTGGAGCAAGGAGAGGAAAGGGTTTATCAGATGTGTACTGAATCTCTCCTTTCCTGGCACAGCCACCATTGTGCCATTTTCACGATTCACTGACTACTGTGGCTAGCCACTTGCTGAAAGTGGCAACAAAAACATATGCGAGTCAGTCTTTATGATGGGATGGAAAATACACATGGAATATGCCTTTATGTCTGCCTTAATGCCTATATCTTTTGGTTGGCACTTGCTATTATTTTGAATAGGTTATTGTTACTCCTACTTTAGTAATAAGACATTATACTAGGTGATGGATATAGAGATCTGGTGGGAAATTTAGGAAATAAACAGGCATGCTCCTAAATGTGCCTTCCTCAGTCCCTTGCATTATAATTTCCTTCTGAAAATAAATTTCTTTTTGTTTTCAGTAAATCTACTAATAATGTAGAGCAGCAGTTAAGAGTTTCAGCTTTGATTTGTCGAAAAGCATTAGTAGTAGCAGCACAGTAATTTACAGCTTCGATCATTATTGTTAATGGCTTGTATATGTAATCCATTAACACTGACTTATGTATAAGTAACAATGATTTCAGCCAAGTTAATTATCAGCTGAGTTTGACTTAGGAAGTCTACCAACAGTGTTTATAGTTTAAATATTCCAGCTGTGGAACACGACCTGTTTAAAGGAAAAGAAAAAGGAGATTGGGAAGAGCATTTCAAGCCAAGTGTGTATCATCTAAATATATAAAACAATACATGGAACTAATCTGAAAGGCTTTATCAACAGGTAAAGCCACTACAAGTAAAAATGTATTAGGGGTGCATATATACGGCAAAAGTAAAATCAGCCTCTCAGCCCTTGCATACCAAAGTATTCTCATCACAGCATCTTCTAGCATAGTCACTTCTTTCTGTGACCCATTTTTGATGGTTGAGATTTCCATTTCTTTTTTCTAGTGCCCTCCTCTATACATGTTTATGTAGGGTATAGGATGATTCAAACTCAGCTAGATCGCCAGATTGGAATCCTTCTCTTTATTATGTAGCTTTACGAAGAGGCTCATGCAGTTCAATATGAGGCTCATGCAGTTGAATCGAAGTCTAAGCAATAGCAGCAGAAACAGTTACTCTGGCAGTTGAGTGCTGGAGACTTGCTCTTCACGGTGATCATTTACCTTGGACAGCATTTTAATTCGCAAAATGCTGCCCTGTCTGGGACTTTTTGACATGAAACACTTAGAAAAATCCACGCAACTTTACAGCTGTATTAAAATCCTCAGTTTAAAATTCCCCTGTACAACTCTACAGCAGTCTGAACCTAAACCTTCCGCTTAATTGAGAGAGAGATTTTCCTCATTTGTGTTTGGAGATCAAGACCATGCAGATGAATAATGTACTTAAAATACTGACTGGAGATTTTTCTAGTCATACAATACAAGCATACCTTTTTTATATAGCTAGTGCTTCACACCAAGAATCTTACCTTACAGGGGAACCTCCAAGGAGAGATGGTTTTGTAACCTTTACAAAACCATCCCAATATGGAAAAGCAGTGGCTTCTTCCATACACATACTTGTGCTCACAAACAGGATCTTTGCTTCAGCAAAACTATATTGCCACATCAAAGAGGAAGTCAGTATTTTGTGACTTCAGGGGACTTAAAAAGAAAATAGATGTGCTTACATGCATCAGTGCCCATTTTAGTCTTGATGTCAGAGGTATTGAGCACATAGCCCTACTAGAATTGATTTGGTTTAAGGTTTTTGTTCCTGAGCTTTGTTTTGGGTCCAGAGAGACAAATATTAATCTAAAATTAAACTGTGTGGAACTAAGGAGACAGGAGCAGGAATAAGGCTTTGTAAAGCCAAATGATTTACATTTTCAAAGTGGTCTCTGATTTCTAATCTGAATGTTTTAGGAATAAAGTCAAAGGTGGATGAGCTGAAAGCAGCCTATGATCGAGAAGAATGTCCCAACCTGGAGGAATATGAGCCCAATACTGTAGCCAGCTTGCTGAAACAGTATCTGCGTGAACTGCCAGAAAATTTGCTTACCAAAGAACTGATGCCCCGTTTTGAAGATGCTTGCGGAAAGAGCAATGAGGCTGAGAAAGTTCAGGAGTGCCAGCGGTTGCTGAAGGAGCTGCCTGAGTGTAACCACCTCCTGATTTCTTGGTTAATAGTGCATATGGACCATGTTATTGCAAAGGAACTAGAAACAAAAATGAACATCCAGAACATTTCTATAGTGCTCAGCCCTACTGTCCAGGTATGTGCATACCCAGCAAAAACTTTGTCCTAGCAAGACGTTTTCTCTCTGAGGCAGGCAGGCAGGAATGGGATAAATGGTAGGGTTCAGTTAAATTGCAGGTTTTCTTAAATACTTGTCAGGCCTTCTCATTTCCCACCCTCCCCCTCCCCCCCAGCACACACACGTTTTCTTCATATGACCTGGCAAACACCACTGTTGTGGGCTTTCAAGTATAGTTATATTATTAAAGCATTACAAACGCTGCTTTAATAAGAGATAATAAGAATACTGGAGTTCAACCCTCAACACCAATAGGTTTGTGCACATACTAAGAATTTGTTAGAGTCGGCTGTTCAGTGACAAGTCATTGCCCAAGAGTATATTATTGCTTAATGTGTGCATCAGGCTGGTCAGTCCAGTTTTGTAAACCCACATCTGCCTAATGAAATAACTTCCATAGTAAGAGCTGGCTTCCAAATTCATAAAAAATGAAATGTGAGATTTCTGAACCATTATAGCTGTTGTCATGCTTTAACAGCCTGGAGTCCTGCAGATGCACTTGGAACTGGAGTTTCTGCTGCAGGATGCTTTGTTTTTCATTGGGCATCTTTTTAATAAAAACCTACCTCCTTATATAATAATCTAGGTGTGAGGCCCTTGGGCAGGAGGAGGGTTTGCTATTACTCACTGGTATTTTCTGTGCCAGTCCCAATTCTCCCTCTTCTACCAGACAAGCACAAATTATTGCAAAACAACTCATACCCTATCATGTTTTGTTTGAATAGATTCAGGGGATGAAATCAGTCACTTGTTTTGAGACAATTCTGTGAATTTTAGCTTGACAGATAGTATCAAATCAAATCTAGCATCAGAGTAGTGAATACGACAGTAGCAGGTCTTTCCAAAATATTGTGTGACCAGCTTTTTCCCTGTTTAAAATAACTGAGGAGGGTTAGAGGATGCGTGAAATCTGCTGAATTACTGGGGAGAAATAAAGAACGTAGTTATCCAACAGGCATAACTCTTTATCTTTAAATACTTTGTAATGTTGCTAGTAGCTCTAGAAAGAGAATCTTGTTGGATTATACTAAAATGCTGCAAGCACTATCTTAGCTGAAGACAGTATATGTAAGGGACTATAATAATCTGTATTTTAGTAAATACAGTGTTTGTTAGCCAGGTTGTGGTGGCTTAGTAGGGTTATACAGTATTTTGCCTAAGAACCAGTTTCTGGATGTTCCTGACTCTCAGCCCATTGTAAATTAGTAGTTTAAGGCGGTGATACAGTCTGCAATTAAGAAGTTAATAATTCTGTTGTACACAGTTACAATATCAGACAATTATTCTCATTTTTCAGGAAGCTCTAGAGGAAAACGTTTTTATGGATGAAAGACAAATGTTTGTTATTTAAAATGTAGTAATTTTCTTGTTAGTTCTCCTGTGTGTTGCTAGTAATGACTCAAGTGTAAGGGACCTATCAAATTCACAGTTTTGCAGTTTTCACAGAAACAAATTTGGTAGGTTCCCTGTGGAAAAGCCCAGTCCCCGCAAAAAAGTCTGGGGACTATGAAAAAGCGGGAAAATGGCCAGCAAGCCTGCCGAGGGAAGGCAGCTGCAAACAGAGGTGTGAAGCCCTGGCATCCTGAAGGGGGGGGCAACAGAGCACGGCAGGGGGGCATGCCTCTGATTGACCAAGTGGCCCCAGAAGTCCCACCCCCTCCCTGGATATTGACAGATGGCTATCTGTCAATCTCTGGGGAGGGGCAGGACTTCTGGACTCCCTTGGCCAGAGGCATGGGGGGGGCCCACTGCGCTCAGACTGCAAAGTCTGGAGGCACCTGCCATAAATTCGGCAGGTCCCTACTTATCTACACAGAGCGAGAGAGCAAGAGAAGCATAATAAGCTAACAGATTTCTCTGTCTATCATCTATAAAACTAACTGTTAACATTGCAGACCACTTCCAAAAAATTAAGCTTGGAAAGAAAAGTTCTTATACCTCAAGGGAATTAGAAAAGGGAGAGACAGCCCAGTGAAAACAGAATGAATACTTCCTTGAGGTCAGCAGCAGGTCTTTTAAGACATTTTTAAACCAGCTGTTGAATCTGCAGTAAGTCATCTGAGTTAGCTGTCTTCAAAGATCAAGAAAAAGCAGTAGTCTCATCAAAGAAGATAATCTTTTGAGTTAGGATACAAAATAAACTAAAAGACATAGTATTAAAAAATCATTTTCTGAACCAACATTTTGACTCTCCTTTCTTCCCAGATCAGCAACCGTGTCCTGTATGTATTTTTTACACGTGTCCAAGAGTTCTTTGGGAATGTGACTCTAAAGCAGGTGACGAAACCCCTTCGCTGGTCTAATATGGCAACAATGCCAGCTCTGCCAGAAACACAAGAAAGCATTAAAGAGGAAATCAGGCGCCAGGTTTGTTCTGCCTTCAGTACACCTGTCTACTGTCCACCTGTCTACTGTACAGTACAGTACACCTGTCTACTGTACTGTACCTCTACTCTACCTGTACTGTACTCTACCTGTCTGCTGTACTGTACAGTACACCTGTCTACTGTCTGGCTGTCTACTTTGATTATTATGTTGCTGATTTATGTGAGAGGCAGCGATTTCTTAGGGTGATAACTTTTATTGGACCAATGGCATAGGTGGAATAGAGTGAGACAAGCTCTTGAATTCAAAACGTTCTTTTCCAGGTCTGAGGAATGAAAGCCAGAGCTGTGTAGTAAAAAACAGCTGGAAGAGTAGGGAGAGAAATTCCCAGGGATAGCAAGCAAACAATTAGCAGAAGACAAGAAGCTAACTGGGAGATTAAGGCTTATCAAAAGGGAGGAGGGTCATTATCATGTTTATTGTTTAGGCAGAATTCAGAAATCAGGTAGGTTATTTATAATGTGTCATAAAACCAATATCAGTGTTAAATCCTTAGTTCTTAGTGTCTAGCCAACTTATGAATTTTTGTTCCAAAGGTTGCCTTTTAAGCATGAAGATATCAAGGTTAGAGAGGATAGTGAAATCAGAGGGGGAGTGGTCATTCTGTGATAATTGTGCTCCTAATAGTGTATCTGTGTTTCTGTCTTGTATATGTTTCTTCTGTGAGAGTTTAGTTTCACCCATATAGTTGCCATGAATGCAATTGTTGCACTGGATCAGATATTTTGCATTTTGGGAAAGGCATATGTAGGAACCACGGATTTTGAGGCTAGTTTTGTTATGGGGAATCTTGGCTGTATTGGCAGTGAAGATGTGTTGACAAGTTAAGCATTTCTTGCTAAAGGAAGGCTCTGTGTGAGGAGTTTGATTCCACGGATCAGTTAGGAAAGATTAGGGCAGGGATGGGCAAAATGCGGCCTGCCAGGCCATTCTATCCGGGAATCTGATTTTCAGTTTGAATTGGCTGGGATTTGGAAAGGCCTGTTTTGTGATGAGAAACAGACAAAGAGCTGAATGGGGGAAGGAAGCATGGAGAGAATGAACAGTACAGGAGGAAGGAATGAGTAACGGCTGCATTAACATCACAGTTAAATGTGAGCAGGGTGATGTGTTTACTAAGCACTTTCTACAACCAAAATGAAAGATATGATAGCATGAAAAATAACTATTTTAAGCCATGAAAGCGTATATAATGTCCTTGCATTCCAGTGACTGGTGAATGCGATGCTTTTGGTCTTGTTTCTAGGAGTTTCTTCTGAACTGTTTACACCGAGACTTGCAGGCAGGGATAAAAGACTTATCCAAAGAAGAGAGATTATGGGAGGTGCAAAGAATTTTAACAGCCCTCAAAAGGAAACTAAGAGAAGCTAAGAGACAGGTGCGTAATTTTCATTTCATTGCTAAGAATTTACATCACAGACACTACATATTTTTAAACAGGTCAGCGAACCAACTAAAGGCTTCTTGTAACGTCCTACTATAGCTTCATTGTTGCATACAATTAACATTACGTTAAATCCTTGCCAGTACCACACTGCAGGAAACTGAGGAACGTGAGTCTGTTAGAAGTATTCTATGATAGTGGAAATGCATTTCATGTGGATTTATAAAGAATAAGTTTTGCTCTGGGATTTTAATTACCTTCCTGCCAATGAATGCTGAACATAGGTTCAGTAAGAAAGGGGCTGAATTTGCTCATTCCACTGAATTTATTTCCCAAAATGCCTTAGAACTGTACTTATATCCCATTGCTTATTTCTCAGGCTTCTGTTACGTTGAAATTGAATCTTAGGAATCTGGCACCTTACTTTTGTATGGCATGTCCTGCAGTAAAACAGCATGTAACTGAATGTCTATCTTGGACAGCCTGCTTGCTGCATGTTTTGCTTGCCCAAGAATGAGTAAAGTACAGCAGCTGTCCTTTAAACTATCGTCTTTCCCCAAAAGGTGCATAAATATTTAGCTTTACAGAATGATATGGTTTAAGACCTCAGCAGAAACATCTGTCATGACAGTGACAGATGCTGTCTTTGGACAAGTCTGTTCAGGATTCTGTTACATAATGCATGGTATGATTGTGTCAGGGAAACCATTTTAATCAAACTTCTATCTTTCAGGAGTGTGAGACTAAGATTGCTCAAGAAATTGCCAGCCTTTCTAAAGAGGATGTTTCTAAAGAAGAAATGAATGAAAATGAAGAAGTTATTAATATTTTACTTGCGCAGGTAGATAGTGTTTTAATCCCCTTATTTTCCCTAAATCCTCTGGATTTGTTATTCTTCTGTCAGCATACCAGGAAAGCCAATTTTGGAACAGGGGACTAAAGAGATGTAAATGTATTCCACGGCTACTGAAGACATTTTTGCTTGTTAGTAAAAGGGGCTGTTGTGTTCTGTTATTAACTATGTCTGCACCATAACAGCCCCCCCTACGGTGCCTATGTGGTAGGGCAAGGGGGTTCAGGACTGTGGATGGAGTGACTGGCAGGTTGTAGGGATATGCCTAAGACAAACACTTTAACAGGTGCTGAAAACAAAGCACTGTGGCTTATGAAAAGTATAGCTTTCTATTGCATACTTTTTTTTGAAATCAGTAAAACAATTTTCTTGATCTAGTTAACAATGTCAACTATTTTGCTGAAAATGGAGACCATCCTGTTATGCAAGCATGTCCAGTCTGAGTAATGTCTCATTTTGGCATCAATAAATGAAGCTTGGAAGAAGGGAGTGTAATCACAACTTCTCCCCCTAATCTGACTCCTGCTTGGTAGTAAATCATGATGTACCTTTTCAAATTTTGTCTGGAAAGCCTTGATATATAAGGCTGGTTTTTGAAGGCTGTGAACAGAAAGGGTAATGTGGCACAATGGAGCATTTAGCCTTGATGCCACAGAGTTACATTTCCTTTAAATTCTGTTAAAGTGCTTTAAATCATCCCAACTACTCTGGAACCAGGGACTTTTTCATGGGAGATACCTCTTAACTCCAACACAAACCCTTGCAGTCTCCTTGAAAGTCATTTTAAAATGTACCTTTACATCTCTGAAAGTACATCCCTAAGACAATGATTCGTAACCAGGGTGCCACAACACCCTGGGGTGCTTTGAGACTTTTTAAGAGTGCTGCAGGATTCCACACAGTGTTGCCATTGTTAGGTTTGCAGATATGATTCACAAGATAGGACCAGAGATTTCAAACGGGAATCCACAGCATGAAAAAACATTCTGCCCTACTGTAGTCTTTTTGGGTTCTTTGCAGAAAATTACTCTACTTTTTTCTGCAGTCAAAAAAGATGGGCTACCAGCAGCTGGGGACAAGGCCTACTGCAGAATTCAGGATCCCTGGACCCCGATAGACACAGCCATTAGTGGCAGCCTCCCAGCTCTGCACTGTGAGTGCAGCTCTCTAGTACCACCCACTGGCTTCACACCACTGTTTGATGAGAGCCCCACACATTCACATGCCCCTGGCTCTGTGCTGATGTCTAGCCAGAGCTCCAACACAACTATCCAAATGCCAACCTGTGCCACCACCCAGCCCCAAGTGGATCCAGCCTAGAAGGAGCCCCTGAAGTCTGGATCCAGCCTGGGGTCCCCAGGGTGAGTTTGATATGCTTGGTTTAATGTAACAAGTGAATCCTGTCATACTGGAAAAGTTACTTCATAGGTAGCTAAGTAAGTTATGCAGACTTTTCAAAAACTTGTATTTGCTTCATTTGAGACAAAGTGATGTGCTCTTTGTTCTTTGCTCACAGCCTCTTTGTGTAAGTTTATAATTTGCTTGCTTAAGACCAAAAGGGTGAAGCAAACAATGTGCTGTAAGGGGACTAGATCTCTGAAACAGGAAGGAAAGGGCACTTTTCCTAATGGGCAAGTTTGGGGACATATAGGAGATATGGCAACAAAGGAATTAGTGCCACACTACTTGTAACAGGGAGTGGGAGGAAGGTACTCAGCATTTTTCTTTTTTCCTTCATCTCAAACCTCCATTTTTGGCCTTTCCTCCACCTACTGTTGCATCCACTCCCTTCCCATCTCTTTGGCCCTTCCGTCACAACACTCTTCCTCTCTGCAGTAATTCTTGCCAGTCATTTCTGTCATAACATTTTAATTGATGACCTGTCTGCTTCTGTAATGGACCCCAGTGCTTCCCCTTTTGATTTGAACTTTGGCACCTACATCTCAGGAGCACCATATCCCAGCCTTGCACTTCCTGGCTTATGCTGGAGTTTGGACACCACTGTGCACCAGAGAACACACAGGAATTCAGTAAGCAAAGCAAATGTTACTTGGTCCCAGGCTTATTCTGGCTCAGCAGGCTGGTGGGCAAGCAGAGTAGGGGACTGGCAGGTCTCTCATGCTATGTAAACAATAGGACAGGCCACCACTCTGAGCAGTTAGAGTCATTTCCAGTGACAAGCCTGTCCAGTCGCTCCTGAGGATGTGGCAGTGGAAGAAATACTCATTTGTAGCATGTTCCTTATAGACTGTAAATCCAAGACCTCACAAGAAGAACTGATTGATTATTGCAGGAGAATGAGATCTTGACAGAACAAGAAGAGCTACTGGCAATGGAGCAGTTTTTACGCAGACAGATTGCCTCTGAGAAGGAAGAGATAGACCGCCTCCGAGCAGAAATAGCAGAAATTCAAAGGTAAAGAGGAGCCTGCTTGATAACCCCCAGCAGGCGAGAGTTTTTGTACTATGAGAGTTTCCTTATTTATACCTACTTTTCTATAAAGAATGGGGTTTTCCAAAGCGTTATAGAAACTGTAAAAGAACCTAGGGAAGATCCTTGATTCTCTACCAAAGTGCCATGGCACCCCAGAGCGGGTCTTGAGCTCCTTTCAAGGGTGCCCCACAATGTTGGCACTGTTAGTTATGTGCATATGATTGACCAGATAAACCTAGAGATTTCAAACAGGAAAACATAGTGTTAAAACATTCTACTATTCTGTTTTTTCTGAGTTCTCTGCAACAGAAATATTGCACTAATATTTTTCTATGGTCAAAAAAAGAGTGAAAACTAAGAAGTGGCATTTTCCAGTAATGCCTGGAGTCCACTGGGGAGTGCCTTGAGTTTGAGAACGACTGCTGTAGACTATCCACAGCGTGGCATAGTAGATTTCATTGCAGTAAGGGAAATCACACCTAATAATCAAAGAACCTGTTGCCTCTATGAACAGATTTTTTCCTCGCATCAGAATTTGCTGTAAGAAAAGTTTCATTTCCTACCTCAGCAGGGAGGTGCTTCCAGAGCTGCTTTTCCTCTTGTAGTTCTGGGAAACTTACATTTGAGCAGGGCTTAACCTTAAGGTTTCCTTTGCCCTTCAGTCGCCAGCAGCATGGTCGAAGTGAAACCGAGGAATATTCTTCTGAGAGTGAAAGTGAGAGCGAAGATGAGGAGGAGCTGCAGATAATCTTGGAAGATTTGCAAAGGCAAAACGAAGAGTTAGAGGTGAGTAAATTTTACCTTTGTGCTTCTTGCTGGCTTCCTGCCTTTCGCTCTGCAGAGAAGCTTTGTTACTTAATTGAAAGAGTTGCTTATTCTCATTGAGTGAACTGGAAGAGTCCCAGGCTCCAGAGCCCTGCATCATGTGCAGTCATTTAAACGTGTGAAGTGGATATAAAACATCTGAATTGGTCGTGTTCTGTGCAGGCTGCAGGATCCTCTGGAAGGGAGGGTTCCTGTGTGGGCAGCAGCTCTGTTCCATTCAGGCAGCTACGCCTGGTTTTTTTCCTTCTCTGTCCTGAACGTGACTTTTCAGTAAAAAGGAATCGGAACTCTTGGTAGAGGTGATCTCTTTTATTAGTCCAACTAGATATTTGCAAAAAAATTCTTTATTTGCAAGCTTTTGGGTACATGTGCCCTGAGTTCTCTGATCTTAGCCACTTCTTCCACTAGTGGGTGAGAACCTCTCTCCAGATGCTTTGTGTGACCTGTTTTGAGGCATAATTTGGAGTACAGAGGGGCAAGACCCTTAGGAGTCAGCTTTTCTTTGCATCAGTCTTACATTTGTGGTTTGAATAGAGCTCCTCAATTGGCTAAAATAATGTGAAGGCCCATTCATCATTCCTAAGGCCCTGTGCCTGGGATGTTATGGTGTCTTTGATTAGCACTTTTCAGACATGAGAACTTGCACTTCAAACCCTGTGTCATTTACTGTTTTAATTTTATTACTGGTGAGAAGACTGGCACAGAAAGGTGAAGTGACTGAGCTGGGAACATGGCCCAGGTTTCAGGACTGCCTGTCCCTGTGTGATAGTGACCAGCTGGATTTGAACTGTTTGGCTACTGCTGGACCACATTTGTAACCCAGATTAAAGTGTGTCGCGGGGGGAGTGTTGTACAGCTTTAAAAAGGCAGTGGTCTTTTTGTGCTTCCTAAACAGGAGAGCCTCTTTGCAAGCATGGAAATCATTGCTCTCTTTAAAACAGCTTTGCTTGTTTATATGGTTATTCCTGACAGAAGAAAACAAGCAGTGTCAGCACTCATTTACATATAAAGTGCCTGTTGGACTTGTCCTATGTTCAGATCCCACATGCTGACTAGTATTGAATTCAAAGGGCAGTTTAAATAATCATTAGTGTGTTCTGCTAGGTGTTAGGTGTGTGGGTGCAGGGATGGATACTAGAAGCGTTTGTTTTTCATGTCAAAATGTAGGTTTGGTGCCTGCAGCTGTTTGTTCTGTTGTCACACAAGCCATCTCCTCTAGACGGGCGACAGCCTTTTTGCAGGTGCCACAAGTTAAGCTCCCCTCCCCCTCTCCCAGCAGTAACCTGCTAGTTACTGCCCTGGGGAGCCAGAATGGATGCAAGGGGCAGTGTTCAGCAGTGCAGAACAGAGCAGCAGCAGGATACTGAATTTGGCAGCATCTGTAGGGCCAATGAAGTCTTAACCTGGCAGTGACAACTCTTGCAGAACTATCCTGGTGCCATGCCACTCTGCATGGCTGAAGGCTTCAACCTCACCACCTGCAGGGCCTGGTGAAGTAGTGCCTTCAAAGCCAATGAACAGAGCCTTAAACCCTTGGGCAGCCCAAGGAGGTGGCACTAGGAGGCCTCTGGAGCACAGTACTCTCTCCTCCCTGAGCAGCTCCTTCAGCAGGAACTCTCTTAAGGGGTTTGCCCCAGTTGCACCTTCAGGATCTGAGGCACTCCATGGGGCAGTGGGATGAGGTGTCCCTGAGGGCTGGCTTCCCAGGCAGTGCCACCCTGTGGGCTCCTACTGTCATCAAGGGCTGAGGACTGTTTGTGGGGCAATGGCACTGGTACCCCAGGTGGGAGTGGGATTTGGGGCACTGAGGCTGGAGGGTTCAGGGTGGGATCTGGCTGCATGTAGGGTGCCTGCTGCATTCCTGGACTACCCAGTGCAAAGGTTGGCAAAGGATGATGAGGCTATCCTCACTGCGCTCCCTGGACTCAGCTTGCTGCCAACATATAGGTCTTCATCTGGGACTGCCAGGCTGGGCTGAGCCCAGGCAGAGGTATAAATAATAATGTTGCACCCTGGGCAAAACCACCCTGTGCTCTGAGTATGGGGTGGGGAGGGGGTGATCTGACCTGCCAGGTAGCCAGCTCCTCTGGCCAGGCTGAGGTTGCAGTAGGTGAGCAGGGAAAGGGGAGGCAGGGCAGGGGCATGATGAGCCCTGCTACTCTGGCCCCTCCGCCAGCACAGTGCAGACCCAGTGAGCTGCAATGCCCCAGACCCTGCCGTAATCCTCCCCTCTCTTCCCTGCCCCCAGCCCTTGCTCTAGTCTCTGGAAGGTTAGTTGTCCATGAGTTTGTTTCCTAGTAGCTCCTGTGCGGGTGTTTACATACAGTCTCCCATGTTAGCACAGCTTACAGCATACAAAGCCCAATTAATGATTGGGTGGCTGTGGAAGTTACTGAGTCTGTGCAGTTGTTCTTAGGCAAGTGATACTTTTCTTCCCGCTTGCTCAAAAGATAAAGAACAACCACCTGAACCAGGCGATTCATGAGGAACGAGAGGCCATCATTGAACTGCGGGTGCAGCTCCGGCTGCTCCAGATGCAGCGAGCAAAGGCTGAGCAGCAGGTGCAGGAAGATGAAGAGTCAGATAAGCGTGGAGGGGGTTCTCAGCAGCAAAGAGACAGTGTCCTGGAGACAAAAGCAGCTAAAGAGCAGCCAAAGGCAGTCAAGGAGCAAGTCAAGCCATCGCCAAGCAAAGACAGGAAGGAAACTCCCATCTGATCCTCCTCGGGGATTCAGAGAATCAACTGGACTGAGCAAGGACTGTGCAACTTACTGTAATTCTGAAGCTACAACTGCACAAATGGATAATGGCTGTGTACATGATGTAAAGAATCTTATCTTTTAAACCCTGGAGACGTTAGTCTCCTTCATACTTGTGGCTTCTACCCATCACGCTCAGGTGAGTTTGGAGGGGCCAGAAGAGTTTTCCAGCTAATGTCAGATGGTATCAAGACTGACACGCTTCTGGTGACTTACAATAATTCAGTAATGGTTTTATTTAAGCCAAAATAATGATTTGCTTTCATCAGAGCAGAGTTGGAAGATCTCCCTTCCAATAACCCACCCACAATCATTAATTATTTGCCCTGTGGCTCTGTTGATTCTCATTCATTTCTGTTTATCTACTCACTCTTGCTTGTGCCTTTTATACCTAATGCAGATTATACAAGGGAGCTTTAAATTATTTCCTGATTGGCTAAAAAAACTGAAGGCTTATCACTGTTACCTAACAAATGCCCTCCTACAATTCTACAATGTACTAAATAATTTTTTTTTTAAGTCTCACAAATGATATTTGTCCCTGTCCAGTGGAAACACTCATCAAGCGCTATTGAAGTCCTTTGACAAGATAATTAACCCATTTGCTGGTTTGGAAACAAGCACTTGTCTCTATTGTGTATGCTGTATTCATGCTGCTAGCATAGAGCAACAGCCTTCTCTTGTTTAGAGAAAGGGGCCTTTTGCAAAGGTTTCATCCCTCTGGTCAGTACACCTCTGACTGATGCGCAGGTTAGTAGAGCGGAGGGATTAGGTTGCTTGCTTAAGTTCTCATTGGCCAATCAAGCAATATATATTCAAGTCATCCATTGCTTTCCAGAGAAGCCTGAGAAAAGATGCCCAGTGGAAAAAGCAGGGTTCAGCAATAGACTTTATTTTTTTCTTTTCGTAAGAGTAACTGTGATTTGCTTTTGGTTTAGCTATTTACTGCTACCAGCAATCAAAGGCCTCCATAAAAGCTGGGATTTTAGGGGCATTTTTAGTTTCAAATGTACTCATTTATATCAGTTCATCTAAACAATAGTCCTGAGACTGGTCAGGGATAGTTAGCTCAGCTATTGACAATAACTCCGTAGAGTGCACCATGCCTACTTTATTTCTAGAATCTGGATATTTATTTTCTGCACGTGTTGGACGTGGTTGTATTCTTTACCTATTGCACTGTTGTGAATCATTGGCCATGATTTGATTTTGTACAAATAATGCTTTGATATGTTATAGAAAACAGCATAATATTTTTTTAAAAATTTGGAGAAAAGAATTTATAAAAGACTGAAAATGTGGTCAGATGACAAATGTAAACTTGTAAAGTGTTCTCTCTCCCTTGCCTCTCTGTTACATGCATTTTATATTTGTTGGCAATATTTAAGCTTTTTTTTGTTTTAAATTCATACTAATTCCTATCAAGTTGTCATGAATTTTTCTAATTGGTGTTCTTCAGACAAATCTCTTAATAATGGTTAACTTTTCTTTTGTTAGGACCATATTTATCAAACAAATAAATTCAACAGCCATTTGAAAGACAGTTTTTAATTTATCTACCTCACAATATATGTTCATGTTTCTAAAGCAGCCTAGAGTACTTGGCATGCACAGCTTTCGTCATTGTGTGAGGGGTTTGTAGTAGTAAATGTGTTATATTTAGGCTACATCATTAGTGTCTAGATTGGTCTCTAAGGATGATCACAGCACTAATTCTCAAGCTCTGCTGAAACTTGTCAAGTTTTGGAAAAAAATCTTGGCTTGGAGCCAATTAAAGCAGAACAAAACCATCCTTTTAGTTATGGCCTTTTGTTGAGACTTTTCCCTGGAGCAGTTGCCAACTACTGCCAGGTGTCTGCCACTGTCCTCTGAGGGTTAGGCCTGAAGTTCGTGCTTTCGTACAGGAATTCATTTTTTAAAATTATTCTGACTATAAATAAACCAACTTTCTACAGTATTCTATATTTGGGGACCTCTGCATTCCTAGGAAAAGGTGTTTAATGTTTTTTAAGGGGGAGAGGAACAAAGCAGACTCTGTATCCTTCCTTAATGCTAATTCATAAAACCTTTCCTTAAAAAGTTACAAGGGATGAATTTTTGGTTTGTATAATTGTAAGTCATCAGTTAATTCAGAGTATTTCCATCAACAAATGTTTAATCTGTCCATTTATACATACAGACAGGATCTGGTACTAATACTGAAGGGACCATTTGTCTGAGATCAAGCAGGCTGCAGTGGAACAGTGCTAGATCTAATTTTTTTTTTTGAAGATCACATCTAATATTTAGTCATTATACTATCAAGCTGATTTTTAATTGGACAGCATTTGCAAGTGATCTGGGCAGTGTAAAATAAGGTACCTTATCCTGGGAACACCCGAAGGTGCCTTATAATAAAATTAACAAAAGCTGCAGTAGACCCCCTCAGGCCCCAGGGGAGGCATACCCAGGCCAAGGGTCAGGGAGGATCTAGTCAGGCAACTTCTGCAGGGACTGGATGTATTTAAATCAGCTGGTCCTGACAATCTCCACCCCAGACTGCTGAGGGAATTAGCTGAGGTCATTGTGGGACCCCTGCCACAGCTTTACGAGCACTGGTGGTGCTCCGGTGTGGTGCCAGAGGACTGGAAGAGGGCCAATGTGGTTCCCATTTCCAAAAAGGGGAGGAAGGAAGACCCAGGAAACTATAGGCCAGTAAGTCTCATCTCGATCCTGGGTAAGCTTTTGAGAGAATTATCCTGGCGCATGTCCACGAGGGCCCAGCGGGGGAGGTTATGCTTAGGGGCAACCAACACAGGTTCATTAGAGGCAGGTCCTGTCAGACCAACCTGGTGGCCTTCTATGACCAGGTCCCAAAATCCTTAGATGCAGGGGTAGCAGTGGACATAGTCTTTCTGGACTTTAGGAAGGCCTTCAACACTCTCTCTCACCCCATTCTCATTAAAAAACTGGGGACTGTGGCATTGACTCTTAGGCAGTCAGATGGGTCGCTAATTGGCTGGAGGGCCGCACCCAGAGAGTGGCGGTGGATGGGTCCTATTTGAC